GGTCTCACTTGCGTGGTTGGTGGTGCAAATCGGTGCAGGTCTGCCCCTACCACCCGAGATGGGGGTGGGGGTGACAGAATGGGATTAAGAGTAGGAGGTGCAACAGCATCTTTCTGGGGTGGTTGTGGGTGACCCGGACCCTGACCTTGTTCGTCTTTGAGTCCCAGACCAGCTCGCCCCACGTCAGAAATCTTGTTTGTTGCAGTGGCCAGATTCTCCTCACAAGCCTTCAGGCGTTCCTGTGATGTCCGACATTCACTTTGTAAAAGCAGACATTGCTGGAGTAATCCCGTTTTCACCAGTCTGCATTCGTCAAGTTGTGCTTTAAGCACATCTTTAGCATCCCTGGCTTCAGATAGTGATACATCAAGTAACTGTATTTTGCTGTTCATTGAATCAACTTCTGCACGTGCATCTTGCTGTAATTGAAACAACTCTTCATAATGTTTTCTTGGGAGGACCTCGTGTTCGCTTTTAAATTGAAGGTAGTGTCCTTCAATTTCCTGAACCACCTCTTTTTCACTGTCTAACCTTATTGAAAAGGTCATCAGCTTTCTCAACAACTGCATAGAATGATTCTTTCAGCAAAATTGCAATTTTAGCCAGCTGATCATAACTTGACTTTGTAATTTCTGTAGAGGTCACACTTCTTGCAACCTCCATCAGATTGTCCACTAACTCTTTTGGGTTCATGCTGTTCACCTGTATAACATATGGATGTAAGGATTCTGTCAGCAGCTTCAACGCATCCTCTAAACAGCCCTTCATCTCATAAGGATCAAAATCTTTTTCTACACACCTGTCATGTTCATTCACTGTGTATCACTTTTTCTGGTTAAAACAATTGCCAGCTTCAGATATTTTACAGGTAAATATATGTATCCAAGTGTCATTGAGTTCCACACTATTTTAGCTCTGGGTTTACACAAAAGTACTGTTATAAGTCAACTTATTCAGAGGAACGGGCACCTGTTTCTTAGGTTTTTACCCCAATTCATGAATATTTAAGTAAATGCTTGTCTGCAGTGTTACTTTTAATGTGCTTATTTTTTTTTAACAGATACTAGATTACCAAGCCTCTCAGTGTTTTTTACTCTAAAGCACTGAATTTTTATAAACCTGCAATTTTTCTAAAAG